ACGCCCCTGCGCCTGTGTCTCCAACGCGCCGAGCAACTTCCTCTTTTTATTTTTTTACAGTATAATTACCAGAGCTTATGTTTCACAGTTAATGCTGTCAAGCCTTTTAAACTAATTGGTCTTTTATAGAAAATTTAACTGAAAATTAACACATCTTTTAATAACATTGCCTTAACTTTAATGGCACTTTGCCTTTCGTTTATAATTGCTCTAAAATTGTCATTTTCCATGTCATAGCTGCCATTTTTTATATTTCCTAGTTTTCATGGTGTGGATTTTATTTTTAGTATTTTTCTTTCATGAGGGACGAAAACGGTTTGATTTTTTTCCCAATTCTGGGCCCGCCTGGCCCCATGCGACAGCAGTGGCATGTCCTGGGTCCAACAGAACATACTCCGGTTTGCCATCTGACACCCGCCCAGCTCTGCTGCTCCAGATGGAGGGGTAATTTGTTTATGGACCTTACTTCAAGCGGCACTGGGTTAGCTTGGGCTCACCAAGAACTCGGTCTTCTCCATAACATAGTTCAGGGGTTCGGCCCTCAATGTAAGTACAATTAAGAGAGTCAATCATGTGTGTCACGTTCTCCAGTGGCATCATAAGGATGCTGGTAGCATCCAAAAGAAGGTGCATCCTCTAACCAACACTGCAGTGCCTAAGCCCAGACTTAAAAATTGACCAGACGTGGTCTTTTGTCCTCAGAGCACACAGTGTGGCGATCGCCTTGCCTGTCGGACTACTTCTTGGGTATCCCTGTCCCATGTCCACCGCCTTCCAACCACGACGGTCTCTGTCCAGCTGCCTCAGACCAACAGACCCCAGCCCATCACCGCTTTCCAGCCCCTGCTCTTCCTTTTGCCTGGGAAAGCTAGTCCCCCTCACCGCTCTTGATTTTTCAGTGTCAGCTTCAAAGCCGCTGCCTGAGATAGCATGACTCTGGTCGCTTTGTCTAAAACAGGCCTCCACAGCCGTTCAAACTGTCGCACGTGCTTCAGATCAGCCGTCCCTGTCAGACAGTGCCCAGCTCCCTGCACAGTTACTGTGACTTACACAGTCACCGCCCGCTAGAATGGAAGTTCAGCAAATATGAGGGCAGGTCTTCATCTTCCTCCTTCACTGCTAAATCCCCAGCAGGGAAAACAGTGCCTGGCATTTAGTAAGTGCCCCACAAATATACTGCTTCATAACAACAAGCACGTAAAGAGCTTGTCATGGGCCAAGTTCTGCACTAATCACTTTACAGCCTTAACTCATTTAGTCATCTCAATAGTCCTATGATGTAGGTACCACCATCACCCCATTTTAAAGATAAGAAAACTGAGGCACAGAGAGGTTAAAGTAATAGAGACAGTAAATGGCATTGCTGTGATTGGCATCCAAGCAGTTTGGCTCTTGAGTTCATGACTTTTCTTTCTAGGAAGGGTTCCAGTGGAACTCAAATTGAGGGTGACGGTGGGGGTAAGTGGAAGCTGTGTGGAAAAGAAATCTGAATGCTCATGTGCCCATCTCATCTCTAACTACAAAGGGGCTTCCTTTCATCTGTGTGTGTGTGTGTGTGTGTGTGTGTGAGCAGCAAGCTGGCGTTCTGAAAAACAGTTTTTAGTTGTGATCTTCTTAGAGGCAGGAACCCACAAGATAATTATCCCCCCTTGTCACGTGTTTCTGCTGTTGATTTGCAGGAGAAAGCCATGAGGCCATGTCTGCAACATCCCTATCTGTTCCAAGATTGCCTGTGATGAATCAAAACATTATTCTTTTAGCAAATGAAGCAGTAAGCAGCAGGAGTGGAGTTATAAAGGACAATATTCAGGGAATGTTTAGACACATGATTAAATGGCAATTCTGGGAGGAGTGCTAGAAAAAGAAGATCAACATCTAAAGAGATGTGTGTGGATGTCGTGATGCTGCTTGTAAGCAAATGCCTGAGATGGAGGCTTACCTCTGGCTCCTGCGGCTTTGAGGAGTCTCACTTTCTCCACTGATATTTCTGCATGCCCTTTTAGTTCCTCCTAATTATTGCCTTGGCCCTTGACTATTTCCTACTTTTTTTTTTTAATACGTTAAGGTTGGAATGGGATGCAAAGAAATCACAGGTAAGATTTTATCAGAAGGTGTAAATCCAATTGGTCTGTTGAACCAGACCCAATTCAAGACCTCACTGTGAAATTTGTTCATCCTAGGCAATGATAACAAGACCTGGCATAGGCACTGTGGTTAATTATGTGATAAGTTACTGTCAGTGGATCAGTTAAATAAGTCTTGCTTCAATACTTGGATTAAGTTTATTCATATTATTACCACAAGATCAGATACTATAGCTGAAGTACCTCACACAGCTCTGGGCCCTCAATAAAGGATGCTGATAATTACAATGACAGGTACTAGATTCCTGTCTAGTACCTGTGGAATTCAGAGAAATGCTGCCCACAAATTACTGTATCCACACAGGCCTTAGCTATCCAATCCCAAACACTTTAGTTTACATTTCAAAGGAGATCAGAGAAGGCTATTAAAAAAATTCAAACCAATTCACTTTGATTTCTCACCTGAGTTTCCAAGAACTGACTCACCAGTGATCAAGTAGACAGACAGCTGTACAACTCAGATCCAGATGTGCCTGGCCCACCCATGGCCACCATGTATCCCCTTGGCTGTATAGAGCTGAAGTTCTCTGGTGCTTAAAAGCAGTTGCATTCCTTGGAACCAGGGCTGGCTTCGTGGGTGTGTGGCCTGTGCAGTCACCCAGGGCTCATACTCAGAAGGGCCCCTCACTTGGTTTAATGCCCTGCTGCCACCATTTTGAAATTCTTAATAATTTATGAAAATAGTGGCCTTGAAAATTATGTAGCTGGTCCTGCCTGGAATATACTGAATGTCCGATATGTCAAAACATAAATAATTTTATAAATTTGAATTCAAAAAAATTTAATAATGCATTTTCAATTCTGAAAAGTATATATTATAAGCAGTTTCATTATCTCTTAGTGAGACCAGCCTTCTGTAATTTCTCTAATTAAGATCAGAAGTAAAATGAAAATTGTAAAGATGAATTCTAGAAATCTGTTAGAAACTGAGTTTGGAGACTATGAGGACCTCGCTTCTGTCAGTCCTTCCATCCTGCTTAGGGAGTTTGCCCAAACTGAGCCCCACATCACTAGCAGCTAGAAAGCTTCGGCTCAGTATCCTCTGGCCATCAGGAAGATCACAGCCCTGGGAAACCAAGAGAGCCCTGCCCCAGGGACCACTTCCTTTCCTTCCTGGCTCAGAAAGCAATGGGATGGCAGGGAGCCCAGTCGGCTCTAATTCAGATGAATGTTGTTTCATAATTACTTTTAAATCCATAATTCCGATTTTTAACTAAGATATACTTGCAGTTGGACCACATTCAGGAATACAGAATAACCTAAATTAGTCTTAAAGAGCTTTATGTTTTTTCTTTCTTCAAATAGAGGTCCTTCTGGGATATTCTTTAATGAATAGATGAGACTAATGCGTAATTAGCATATCAGTTGTTCAACACGTTCAGGAGAACAGCTTTCTTAAGCTATTTAAGAAATGTACGTATATAAAAGCTCTCTGAGCTGTGTTTATGATTTTAATGTATTCAATAAAACTCCTTTTCCTGGATTCTCCAAAGGTCGGTGTTTATCCAGCCTATGTCTGTATTTTCAAAAACTGTGAATTTGAAAATTCCAAAATGAAGCGCCTTGTCTATATAATAAATAGACACTCGGCGGGAACACGTCCCACTCCCAGGTTATGATCCATTCTAACGTCTGCTTTTGCCTTTGTAGTTCAGGATGGCTCCATTAAACTGGGACCTACGTTGTCACTGTTCTTTGTTTTTGGTCTCACAAGTGAAAAAAACAGTGCACATCAAGTTATAAAAGAACAAAAGATGCATTTGATCCATTGGCCAGCCCACCCTCTGTTCTTTGCTGCCACCACGCTAGTCCTTCCCCGCCGCAAAGAAAGGCCAGGCCTGGCCCTGATGCCTGGCCCTCACCCAGAACTTACGTCTCAGAGACCGGCAGTCACCTAGGAGTCACCCTTGGAGTCATCCCTGACACTCTGTTCTCTACCTCCAGCTCATGTTTAATCAATCCCCAAGTCCTATCGATTTTACCAACAAACACCCCTGAAATCCACCCGCCTCCCCAACTCTGCAGCTCCATCCTCGTCTGAGCTCTGGGAGCCTCTGACTCAGATTTCCTGCCGCCATCCTGCCTCCCGAACCTTCCTCCATACCTGGCGAGGCAGGCCCTGTAGGATGCAAACCTGGTCACAACACTTTCCAGCTCAAAACCTTTCCGTGCCTTCTCATCATTCTTTAAAACAGAAAAAAAGACCGCCCGGCTGGGTGGCTCAGTTGGTTGGGCATCGTCTTGTGCACTGGAAAGTTGCCGGTTCAGTTCTGATAAGGGCACATGCCTGGGTTGCAGGTTCGATCCCCAGTTGGGGCACGAACAGAAGGCAACCGGTAGATGTTTCTCTCTCACATTGATGTTTCTCTCTCTCTCTAAGCATGTCCTCAGGTAAGGATAAAAATAGAAGAAAGACCAGCCTTGCCTCCTCCCCGCTTTCCCTCTGTCTCTGTGGTCCAGCCACACAAGCTTTCTCTGGGTACCTGGATACTGTCAGGTTCCACTACCCCAGGGCCTTTGCATTTGCTTTCCTCTTCAGGGGATACTGTTTCCCACAGAATCTCTCCTCTTTATTGCTCAGATTTTGACAGAAAATGTGTATTATTTCTTTATGGAATCTCTCTCCCATCCCGAGACCAGGTAAAGTGCTCACCTAGATTTACTCACAGCCTTCCTTGAACCTTCAAGAATTTATAACCCAATGTTTATTTGCATGATAATTTAATAACCGTTAGGATCCCCTCCCAGACTGGGAGCTTTGCGTGGTTATGAGGTCCACGGCCTCTCCAGCTCCCGTCCCGCGCCTCGCATGTGGGAGATCAGAGGTCTCCACTCCCGCATCCCGCACCCACTCACCGCGCTCATGAGCGAGTCCAGGACGCTGACGGCAAATGCTGTCCCGCATGCAAATGGCTGCGTGAGGTACAGTTCTGTGTCGGGGTCATCGTCATCGTCTTGGTCCAAAAACTGAACATTAGTATCGTTCACTAGAAAAAGCGTAAAATAAGGATCAGCTCAAAAGCCCACACACAGGCAGCGGGGCAGAGGAAGAGCAGGCTAGTGGTTTAGAAACACTGAGGTCGCTGGAAAGGAAGGAAAGCGTGGGAGAAGCCGCGGGTGGGTCGCGGGCGGGGCGGGCCAGGGGAACTCAAGGGACTGCTCCTCCGTGACTGGTCAGGTTTCCGAGGCCGGAGAGCAATGAGCTCAGGCAGCCTTGCCCCATGGCAGCTGCGGGAGGCCTAGTAGACAGCGCCGGTCAGTCCTTTGGTATAGCTTTAGAATCATGACCGAAAAACACCCTGCAGTGTTTTTTGGTAGCCAAGTCCTTTGAGAGATGGACATATCTCAGGGATGGGTAGCCACGGTTAGCCATGCTGGGATGGTAAGTTTAGCCACAAGGAAAGGAAAGCAGCTTATTGAGAGTGAAGAGCAACTGACTGGGAGCACAGCAGAGGCAAAGAGCAAGGAATTCACCTGCAGGCACAGCCACACCCTGCCCAGGGATCAGCCTGGGTAGTGGCTGGTGTCCCCAGCCCTGACCCTGGGCGCATGCCCCACAGGCCCTGCTTAGTACAGACGGCCCCCACGCGGGATGTTTCCCGGGCGGTCTCCAGCTGCTTGCTGACCCAGTCTGCTCGGCATCCCGAGGTGCGGGGATGCCCACGATCTCCCTTTCCTCTTCTACACAGCTCGCTCGTGTCTGTGCTTCCCTTACGCAGATGCAACACTGGATGCTGCGCTTTATTTCCGCCTGAGGATTCCTCAAGGACTCCTCCGGCACTCACTGCAGGCGGTTCGGCTGTGTCACTGAGATGTCTTTCACTTATTAAAAATTAAATGACAAATTAATTTCCATTCCCGTCTTGCCTTCAGAAATGATCAGTTTTGCAGAGCAAGTAACAGGGGGAAGAAATGTGTAACAGGGGAAGAGATGAGCACTCGTGATTTCTGGAATAATTATTGTGCTTTTAGGAAAAGAATAGATGAGGTTTCCTTTTCCTGATTCCTTTCTAAATGTATCAGCAGCAAATTCTCTTTCTTAGAGTTATTGTTTTAATTTTCCCCCAAGAGTAACTTTTTGGATAACTTTTCTTTTTTTCTCCCTAACTTTTATTTATTGAATGAGGTAGAATAAATGATAATAAGATAAACAGGTAGGCATGGGATTAATTTTAAATGGCACTTTCCCTAGAGAAAGATTCTAATGGGGAGAAACCTCTGCTTGTTCTCCCAAAGTTTATCACACTTGGGTCTCCACTATCTCAGCAGCACTTGAACCACAGGCTCGTGGGCGAAAGTGCAAGATGCAGGGTCTAATAACAAGGCTTTGGATCCAGGCTCTGCACCCACTCCCCTGGGCAGAACATTGCATCATTGTGCACGTTAGTTTCTCCCTGTGAGATGGGGAGATGACAGAAACTCTCTTGAGGTTGTCAGGATGCTCCTCTGAGACTGTGCTCGGTAAACCTGGCCCAGCAACTTGTTAACTGTTAGCTGCTCTGGGGACCGCCTTGCTGACATTAAACCTTCTGTCCACACCAACGTTATGAAAATCCCCAGCTTCCTTCCACCCTCTCAGAAGCCCATAGGCCTTCCTCGGGGATCCTACCAGGGTCAACGGGCAGCTCTCCCCCTCCCTCCATTTATCCCAAAGCGTGATGTGGGCCAGGTTTAGTCTTCTTGCTCTGTGAAGTAGAAAATGTGAACTAAGACAACAAGCAGAGGGCGTGAGCATCTACACCCCAAAAGGGGAAGCATCGGTTACCTCTTTCAACGTTGATGAGGAAGGGCTGGTACATAAGTCAGAGGGGAAATAGCCAAAGTAGGGAGAGGAGACTAGATTTTCAATGAGCTGGGGGTTTGAGTCATTGGGAAAAAACTCTAGGGCGCTAGCCAGGTTCAACTGAAAATCCTGTGTACTGTCTGGGTTACCCAGTCTCAAGAGGGAGAGCAGCCAGGATCACCCTAACCCTATGTCACAGAACAGTCATTATGCGGGTGCTAAGGGGTGATTAAAACAATCACCCCGATAGGTATGTGCTCAAATGCAACTGGGAAACAGGCAGGTTGAACAGCTTTATAATTTTCCTTCCTATGAGACTTCTAGGGGACTTTGACCCACACACATCAGCTGGGACTCTCCAAATGAGTGAAGACTGGAATATACTACACAGTTTAAAAAACTTGGTTGACCTTGGCATCCTCTGTGGTTTTCAAAGGCATTTTGCTGGCGTGGTGTGATGCAGAACACATCTCGGAATGCGTTGTAGGTAAATAGTAAATGTTTGTGGGGACACGGGGAAGCGAAGGGGTCAGAGGATGATGGTATGATTGGCAAAGGTGGTCTGACCACTAGAAAATTCAGGCTTAAAGCAGAAGGTGAAGGTGATGGGAGTCATGGGAGCATGGGAGAGTCTCTGAGCTAATGGAAGACATCTGGTGAGGGACAAAGGGTCCCGGAGACAATGATGCTCACGGATTGCCTGCATTGTCACCTCAGATTTGGGGCACCAAGCTGTTTCTTTTCTCTTCCACTAATCATAAATCAAGACATCCTAGCTAGCTGGCAGCAAATGAATTCCAAATAGAAAAAGAAATTCCTGGCAGTGAGCATTTTGAAATGCTTCTGCAGGTTCTGAGATGGAGACGTTTGCATGGATTTTCCAACCAGAGGTCTGGGCTGCATGGGCTCTCCGGGTATCTGACAACACTGAGGTTCTGAGGAGAGCAGTCCCCAAACCTAGGCTTACAGCCAACTTCTCTAAACATGAAAAAGACACCTCTTCTACTGCTGGAAACAAAAAATAGTGGGATACTCCTTGACCTGAGCGGATTTGTCCTGATAAATAGCTACGCCTACAATAATGCAGTGCTGAGTGGTGGACAATTTATTCCTTAGTTTCTAGACACCTTGCAAGCAAGATTACTGTGTTAAAAGCTGCTCTTTTATTTTGAAATATATTTGGGGGCCAAGAAAATGGTGTGTTAGCTTCATTTGTGAGTCATTTGAAGGCAGGTGCTCCCCACCTCTCCATCCACCCCTCCGCCAAGCAGCACTTTCGCTGTCTCTATTTAGAAGATCAATCCCCAGTTCTGAGACCTGCTGCTGATGGGCGCCTTTCGTGGAGTTATTAACCAAGTTATGGGGAACTGTGGAAGGGCCTGACAAATGCAGTCACGACCAAGCCCTTCGTCTTCCTGATGAGTCTGCTCTGAAGCTCCCAGAGAAGGCTCTGGCTAGCAGGGTGTGGGTAAGGGCTGTGCCTCCGTGGCTGCTACCCTCTTTCTCAGCACCCTTTCTGAAATCTGCTTTGGGGAAAAAAAAGGTCCCCCAGGAGCTGGCTGCTTTTATGGTTTCAGGACCAGAGCTTCTGAGAAAGGGCCTAGTACGAAAAAAAAGGCAAATAAAGTCAGAATAAAGGAAAATAAACAGCTGGAGGGAAGGCACCGTCTTAGGTTTCTTATCTTAAAATTTTTATATTTCTCCTTTGACTTGCTCTGAGAGCTGTGAAGACATGTCAGTCAAACTGACAGTGTGTTGGGCAGAGAAGTAAAAGGGAGAAGGCGGGAGA